CGTAACGTAAAAACCTGCCAAAGCCCCGGCCGGGGGTGGTCCCTGGAGCCTGTGGGACACCTCTCCTCCCGGCAGCCCCAGCCTTGTGAGCCAGTGCCCGTAGCTCACCCCTGCCCTGCGACTTCCCTACCGCAGCTTTGTCCTGGCCCCAGCCTGGGGAGGGCTGTGGGGACTCGGGGCCTCCGGGAGCCTCGCACGGCAGCCACTCCTGGGGAGAATCCAGCTGGAAATGGGGGAGCGACAAACACATCCAGCAGCACCAGCCTCCAAGAAACATTTGTGCCCAGCCCCACAGGCAGAGCCAAGTTGGGGGCTACAGGCCCTGCTGAGCAGGGACCCCATGGATGGAGGCACCCCCTGAATGTCCTGGCAGAGAAGGGGGACCAAGGTGGGGAGCTGGGTCCCGAGCAGCAGTGCTGGGCCAGAGGCATGGCTCTGTGGGCAAGGGGCTGGTCCCCCAGCTGCCCCTCACGTACCTATGCACGCACACACAGAGATGCACACACACATACACACACACGCGCACACCAAGCCTGCTCCCCCCATCCCACCCAAGGAGCCCTGGGACGAGGCTCCTGGCACCAGCCCCAACCCTGTTTGTTCCGTCATCACCCAGACACCAATTCCGTGTGCCGGGATGGAGCCAGTGCTGGGGCCCACAGCGCTGGGCAGCCAGGGCCAGTGGTACCAGCAGCTCAACAAGCCTCGCACAGGCAGGGCTCCCAGGCAGGAGGATGACAGGGCAGCCCCACAGTGATGCCCACCCAGGCCCCCTCCCATCGCTGGGGGGAACCGGGGGCAGCCCTGGGCAGGAGCAGGCAGCACTACCTGAACCGGGTTCGAGCCCCGTCCCTCTCGGCGAGGGCACACACCAGCTCCCACCCCAGCAGCGTTTCACCTCTACGCGTGGAATAAACATCTTTGTGTCCGGATGGGCAAGGGGCCCCATGTGGATAATGGAGGGGAGGCAGTGGGGAGCAGGGGGTGTTCAGGGCCAGGGACTGAGGTGCCCCGCTGGGAACGGGAATGGAGAGCCCGACCCTGGGGGGGGGCTTTGCCTCCCCCAGAGGCCAGGCACAACTGGAGGAAGGGAGAGCAGAGGGGCTCCAGCTTTGCCCTGGGGCTGGGGCGAATCCGGTGCCAGGGGAGTGAGTCGGGGGCTCACATACCCCCCGGCATCACTGCTTCCTCCGGACAACCTGGCGGAGGTGCAGCTCGCTCTCTGCAGCCACGATGGGCTGCTCGTTCTGCCGGTGGTGGCTGATGAGGTGGCTGATGCTCTCAAACAGCACGTCCTTGGTCCTTACCTGGGAGCCAGGGGACACAGCGGTCCTGAACCCAGGAAAGCTGCCTCCCACACAGGGTTCCTGTGCAACTCCCCGGCGCCTGCCCCTCCCCACGGACGTCTCCCCCAGCATCCCTTCCCACCCTGCCCTTACCCCCATTCCCCATCGCCCATCCCACACCCTGCCCTTACCACGCCCTCGGGATCCACCAGCAGCAGGTGCTTGGGCTGCCCACTGTGCATGCCAGTCAGCACGTACTGCCCCGGGTTGGTGAGGCTGTCCCGCACCAGGAAGTCCCCATCCGTCTGCAGGAGCCTCTCGGCGTCCCGCCGGCTCATCTTCCCATGGTACCACGGCTCCCGCCTGAGCTGCTCCTCCGTGGGGGCGATGGGGGCTTTCCGCGTGGGGGGGCTCGGCCACTGGTCCTCGATGGGGGGGCTGGTGTCGCCCCCAGCAATGCACTCGTGGAGCTTCAGGGCATCCTCGAACGGCCCTGCGGGAGCCAGGGAGTGTGGAGCATCACCCCCCCGGGGCATGAAGCATGGCTGGGGCGCGGCAGGGACAGAGATGGGCCGAGCAGTGGCAGCAGGACCCAGGGTTATTGCCGGACCCACCTCCAGGCCAGACCCTGCTGCGCCACAGCCACCCTGGACATGACACTGCGCCTGCGCCTAGGCACGGAGGGGACAGTGCCCCCCTGCACCGGCACAGCTGCCCCCTCCACGCGACCAGGCAGGGTGGGCAGACGGGGTTCCCACCCGCAGCCCTGCCCCAAGCACAGCCCTGCTGCCCCGGCAAGGGCAGGCGAGGATGGGGCCCTGACTTATGGCTACGCAGCCCCCAGCACGGTGCTGCTCTGGGTTCAGCCAGCACAGGCACTGCTGGGGCTGCGGCACACGGCTGGGCAACCCGTCGGCATGGCTTGGCCTCTCTGCAGCAGGTCCTGTGCCAGACCCCCAGACCGGTGGCTTACTCATATCAAAGAGGTCCTTTTTGGGGCTCTCCTCTGGCGCCCCGCGAGCTGCCACCTCCGGCTCCCAGGCATCCAGGCTCTGCGTGTTCACGTACATATGCTCCTCGTAGTCCCGTGGCCCCAGGGGGTGGCCATCTGCCTGCAGGTACCCATCGCAGGGCTGGCCTGCGAGGACCAGGCATCACCACCAGCCCGGGCAGGGCAGAGCTGTGGGGACCCCTGCTCACAGTCCTGGGGTGCCCCCTGCGGTGGTACCCACCCTGGCTCTCCAGGTCCCACGGTGGCCCTGGCTGGCTGCTCTGGTCTCGCCTGGCTGCAAACCCGCCCTGGGGAGAGGAAACAGCGAGAATGTCAGGGGGACCTGCCTGGGACCCCCACGGCAGGGCCGGCAGTGGCCCCAGGGGCTCACCTGGCTGGCGGGGCCGGAGCTGGAGGGCTGAGTGCGGACGTGCCCCAGGATTGTGCCGTGCCGGAGCCGGGAGTCGATCAGTCCCCCCGGGGGTGGCTCCTTCCCCGGGATGCTGTTGTAGTAATCATGCTCCGCCACCTCCTCGTCCTCCCCCCAGGCCGACTCCTCCGCACCCAGCACCCTGCAGCAGGGACGGGTGAGCTGGGGACACCCTGCCTGGCTCAGACCCCTCGCCCTCCCCACACAGGGATGGGGGCTCCCAGAGTGACCCCCAGCCAGGGGACGCGCCTGGGACAGGGGGTGCGGGGCTGTGGCAGGGCCCCCCGCCCCCCTACCTGTCCGGGGGTGCCACCACCTTGGGGGGGCTGTGCAGGTACTGCTTGAAGCGCAGCTCGAAGGCCTGTCCCACCGTGCTGATGACGCTCTGCGCCAGCCCCTCGCAGCACTCCAGGATGTGACAGGCTGCAGACAGACAGACAGACGGCTCGAGCGTTTCCCCCACGCTCTCATCACCCCACCGGGACCACCCTGAGCCGCCCCTTGTGCCCCCCACGAGGGATCCCCTCCTCCAGCCTTCATCCCCCAGCGCATCCCTCCTCTTCCACAGAGCTCCCGGGCACAGGGGCCAGCGTCACCTCTCTGGTTGATGGGGTCCTTGGCAACGTAGGCGACGTAGTCTGTGGTGTCCTGGGGGCAGAGGGGGAGCTCAGGGCCTGCGTCCCACTGCCATGCAGGGAGCAGGGCTGGGGCCGCTGGGGCGAGGGGACGGGCTTGGCCCCAGCCCCACATCCTGCCCTGGGGCCAGGCTGCCCTGCAGTTTGGCTCAGCCATAGGATGGGCAGCCCCCGTCCCCGCTGCCCCCGAGGGACCGCAGCCAGGGGAGGGCTGGGGCGCGCGTGCCTCACCGTGTCCCCGCCGGAGGCAAAGGAGATGGATTGCATGTGGTGGTTGGCGATGATCTGCAGGGGGAACACAGCCCATGGGGCGGTTAGCGCGGGGGCCGCCAGCCCCCTGGTTCGTGGTGGGAGGCAGAGGGCTGGGAGGTGGCGGGTGGCAGGGCCACGTCCCCAGGGACGGCTCTCACCTGGCGTGTGGTGGGGATCATGAGGTTCAGCCCATCAACGGAGATGTTGACAGCGATGCTCATGCCAGCAAAGCGGAGGTTGCTCTTGCCCAGGATGGAGAAGAGGGCTTTGTTGGGAGCCTGACCGGGGGAGAGGAGCATGGGGGTGATGCAGCTCCCCAGGACCAGGTTTCCTGGGATGAAGGTGGCAAAGAGGGGTGCCCCAAGAGACCCCAGGCTCTACCCCACAAACTGGGCAGGCACCCCCAGCGCCCTGTCCTGCAGCCCTGGCTTGCCCCAGGAAGGAGCCCAGGGAGGGACGGGCTGGGTGGAAACTCACCTTCTTCTTCCAGATGCCCTTCACGCCCGGCACAGCTCCCCAGGACCAGGTTTCCTGGGATGAAGGTGGCAAAGAGGGGTGCCCCAAGAGACCCCAGGCTCTACCCCACAAACTGGGCAGGCACCCCCAGCGCCCTGTCCTGCAGCCCTGGCTTGCCCCAGGAAGGAGCCCAGGGAGGGACGGGCTGGGTGGAAACTCACCTTCTTCTTCCAGATGCCCTTCACGCCCGGCACCGCCTCGTACAGTCTGTTGCTGGCTTCCCTGCAAGCCACAGCCCCCGGACGGGTTACTGCTGCAGACCCCCGGCCCCTTCCCGGCCACCTCCCTGCCTGCGGCTCTGCAGGGTCTGGGGGCATCAGCCCCCGCAGCCCCAGGCGCCGCAGTGTCCCCGCAGCACTGCCCCACGTCACGGGCCCGCAGTACGTAATCCCAGTCGGGGCCACCTCCCTTCTCCTCTTTCTGCCCATTGATCCGCAGCAGTGCCCTTCGTCCACGTCCCTGCGTGTGGGGTGGATCCCGCAGGGCAGAGCTCCCCCAGACCATGGCCCTGTGTCCCCCCCTCTCTGCAGGGCCCTAGGAAAGGGGAGCACCCAGGGCTGCCAGGTGGCAGCGGGGTGCAGGAGAGCGGGACCGTACCTGGTGACCTGTGTCCGGGTGTTGAAGTCGAGGGACCTCATGGAGCGCAGCACCTCGATGCACCCCATATACTGTGGGGGGGGGGGAGGGGGCAACGGTCAGAGCAGCCTCCTCTGGCCACCACCACCAGCCCAGGGCAGGTGATGGAGAGGTGGCCGGGTGTCAGTGAGAAGGGCCCCTTCGATGACAGCTCCAGGGCTCTCACCCCAACGCACGGCACCCTTTCACTCTCCACCCCAAAATGCCCCATCGCATGCCCAGCCCCTGTGCTGAGACCCGACAAACTCATCTGCGTGCTATGGCTTGTGCCGCCCTCGTAGGGGCGGGCTGCCGCTGGGTCCTGGGGCTGGCTCCCCAGCACAGAAAGCCCCCCCCGGCCCCCGGCCTGTCCCAGGCTGGTTCGGGAGGCTGTGCCGTCCCTCCGGTTCGGGAGGCTGTGCCGTCCCTCCCAGGATGCGCCCGACAACGCGGGCAGCGTAACGGGGCCGGGCGGCTCGT